AGCTCGCATACAGAAGGCTCGATTTGCATCTGCTAACTTGAGACATGTGTGGCGCCGACGCGAAATCCGGCTATTCGTGAGTCGTCGAGTTTATGCTGTAGCATTTAAGATAGTTCTTCTATACAGCACAGAAACTTGGCAATTAATAAAACAGGAGACTCGGTTATATAGGTCACATTGGACTCGCTAGATAGAGAGTGGGGATCATTGTAGTCAACAGACAAAGATTGAGTGATATGGCCGTGTCGTAAACAGTGGCATACATCTTCCCAATATCTTTGTAACCTTAGTTCAGTGAATTTCTCCATTTTCTCCTATTACTTCGTCCAAAAGACAACAACCAAAACCGGAGCACGAAATTGCATGGTCAATTGTTGGAAAAACGGAAACTGAACCTTTTGATGTCCCCTCACACTGCTTTGTGAATCTGGCCTTTAGGTCATAGGTTCCGGCAGCTGAATGTGAACTGAACCTCTCGTTGGTTCAGAATTTCTACAGTGACCTGCCTCGGGTATGCTAAAGGACTCGTTTTATGAGCAATGCGGAAAGCCCCTGAGACACGAAAGCTTAAATTGGATCCCTGGATGAAGTGGGGAGACCGTTGGGCGGTATACACGCAGACCCATTCAACTGGACTGAAAGATTAGAGCAGCAGGAGAATGTTTCCTGTCGAGCATCAATTTCTCCACCTTACATAGAACCCCTTTCCCCACAACTAAGACTATCCTGTCACAGTCAGCCGAAATGTCGTGTGGAAGAAAGAAGATAGTAATCAGAAAAGAGACATGTGCTCGAGTATACCTGAAAGTCCCAAGCCATAGAGTCATTTCCCAGGCCACAACCGGTAATATCAGCGCATTCAATGTATTGCGTTTTGTAATCGAAGCACTTCTCCCCTGAAATAAAAAGATGAAGGAGAAAGAAGGTATAAAATATTACACAGAAGCCAATCAACGAATCAGAATGAAATGAACAATCTATTGAAAACACGAAGTTCAAAAAGGAGCATAAGGAAGCGGTAAAACAAAAAGGTCTAATGAATGATTTATAATGAGATCTTTGGTTTGCTTCAATTGCCTAAATGGTCCCACAGTGCACATTTCAAGTAAAACAGAATGGCAGACAAACACGTTTCCAGTGATTTTCAGTCATGCATATATACACTGAGATATTGCTCGTGATGTATGGATGATATATGATGAATACGAATCACTGCAAACGAGCTTGTTCACTACTGTGCTCTATTTGAATAATTCATGGTTGTAACGGACAGGTGTAATTATATAGCAAAAGAAATGCTTCCCAAATAAGGCACCTAACATGTGATTGGGGTGCGGTGCACGACGAAGTCATATTTTCATTACGTCAAAAGGAGAATCTAACGGAGATAGAGATCGCTCGCATATTTCTCAAATACACCTGAATTTACTCGTCTGTTGAAGATTTACTGAAGAAAAGAGCAGATTTGGGTGTGCAAAGAGAAACTCTCACCAATTCAAAAGTAAAAAAACGCACGCAACATGGGAAGTGATGTGCCACGTATGTGAACTCACGATGCGAACTATTGTAGAAGACACCGACAGCGTCTCGAATTGCAGAAATGGGATCTTGCGCCGCGAGAGCTGCATGACAAGAGACATTCACCGGATAGGCTGGTAAATCACCCATGAAAGATGCTTCGGTCGGATAATCCATCATAGCCATCATGACAAAAGCGTTTCGGGACCATTTGAGCATCCACATATAGTCATCAAAATTTTTCATTGGTTCACACAAACGAAGCTCTCGCGACAGTTTGTTCAGACCTGCGAGTGAGAATGGGAAACGAATGGCACAGAAGATGGCGGATCGCGTAACCCATAGTCATCGATCGTTGGATTCCAAAGACGAGAAGTATTTTATAAAATGTAATTTTGTTTCCCGAAGTACCTTCAGAGTTTTCAACAAACGCAACAAATACAAGATTAACCGATACCATTTGTCATCTTCGGATACGAAAAAATCACCTCGTAAAGGATTCCCAGTACGAGGATAGAGACGAGGCTGGGATAGGAATTTGGACTATTCTCCTCAATTGGTTCAGGAAAATTAAGTCTTCAGATCTGATCTAAGAAGGAATTAACCGAGAGATTATGAACTCCATGGAAACTGGCCATTCTTGTTCTTGGGTAGAACTCCACTTGCTTGTAATGGAATTCTCTGGACTCCTGTCAGCGACTATAAGTGCTATGCCAGGGGGTCAGCATAACAATGATTAGCTTTCACACTGGCGCCCCTTAGCCTGCCAAACTAACCACCCATTTTTATCTGGAGTCAGCGACATTCAGCCGAAAAGCTGAATAAGAATATGGCGAAGTAACGAACGTCCGCTACAGTGAATCCAAATAACGTATTGTGTCACACCAGTCAATGACATTGTCGTTTTAATAGAAAGAGAGCACTGACACACAGAAAACCTGTGAGATGAATGAGTTATGTTTCCTTATCACGATCGTGGTTTGCGGGTCGTACACTTGCGTATCGATGGGAAGTTCCATTTTGTAATCCGAATCTGCTGCTTACTTAGTTTGAGTATATTGCATCTTACCTAGAGGACGGACAAATTATAATCCACTTAGTTCATTTGCAGACACCATAATCTCTCTCATTGGTATGAGAAATTCGCCTCTAACAACTCAAATCACCGAGTATTTTATCTAATAAAATCGTTGTTTATTACCTTAAGATTATTTCAGGCCTTAAATCCAGATGTGTCTCATCATAAAAGCTGTAATAATGCATGCAATGCATACATGGTGCACAAATACCTCTCACCGTTTGGTCTATGCGAGAACGAAATGATAGAACAACTACAATTGACTTGTTACACTTAAGACCAGAAAGTTACCGCTCCAGGGGACGTGTTCGAATCCCACTACTGCCGCCCAACTTTCCCTTCTATGTGTGTCACCATCCGGTGCCCTGGGGGTTACAGTTCACCCACTTCCTAAAATAAGAACAATAGTATATTCAATAAAAGGAAGTGAAAGGATTGTTTCTTATTCACTGATGCTTGTTTCCAACCCTACCTGAACTGGGTTAAACTTGATATTTTTACCGCAAATACTGCGAATATGCTCAGTTTTCGTGGTGGTTATGCGGCGAGCAGTGGTTTATAGGTTACTCGAAGATAATATTTTATTCTTTTTGGTTTATACAACCATTAAACGTATAATTTTATGCGGTCATTTTCGCTACCTACTTGGGTGAAGGAGTAGAAGGAGGATCGGAACGTTAGAAGCGGTATCAATATCGAAGTAGGTAGATGATTGCGAAGATTACGGGTAGATGCTTGAGCGCCACTAGTTACAACACTGTCTGTAGCCATCGACTTCATTGGTTCCGAGGTCCCCATCTGAGGAGCCTAACGTGACACAAATGGCCCATCCCCTAGTTACGGTTCCTATTCCCTCATACCAGGTCTTATTTGGACCATCCTTAACTTTTCCATCTACCACTTGGATAGGAAAACCCCTCAATTCTATAGATGCCATGCGAGATACATGTCACAGCAAAATTTATCCATGGAGGTTGACCACTCACTTCAGTGTGCGTCAGCTGTGGCCTAAAAGTGTGCGCCTAATCTCAGCATTGCTTCTTCGGTTGCCGCACCAGACTCAGGCCATGCGGTGCAGATAACGACGTTCGAACACCGATAGTCTAAATTTATCCCGTTCTCGTAAAGGCCAAGTCGCTGTATCAGTTAGCGGACCCGGCGAAATTGTTGCAGTATACACTCAACCCTACACAGTCAGCCAGAGATGTAGTAGACTAACAAACAGCCAACCAAATAGCAAACTTTGGTTTCACTATCAAAGTGAAGTTGAGAACTTGAACAATTCAGTGCCGTAGCAACACTACGCTTTGAAAGTCCAAAACGCATGCTGAATTTGACTTTACTAATACTCAAACTGTACAGAAAAGCTTTCAGATAACCTGGCTCTTCATTTATAGACTCAATTTTATCTGCAAAGTCAAGATCAAGAGTACAGTTGAGTTATATCTGTTCGTCACTCATGACAACGTTGATGAATGTGAATCAGTGTGCCATCGGAACCTTAAATTACCTGGATTACCTCTCCTTGGTGTGCGCCGTTACTCTCGATAAAGTGAAAAATATTGGGCATGTTACCAACAGCCTTCACCATCTCTATTGATTTTCCCTTTCAACATTTCTCGTGGTCATTGCTCAGCCTCCCAAGGAGTTGGCTTTTAATGGATTTGTGCGTAAATTTACACTCGGCATCCAGAGGAATACCTTAATGAACATCCAGCAAGGCAGTGGAAGTGAAGGAGATTCATCGCATTTGCTTTGACCATGCGTCAAAATCCACCATGGGTATTATTCATATTTACGTGGCTTTTCTGATCAGCTTCCAGTGTTTACTGAGCCCCTAGAGGGGTATTTGGATTGGGAGGTGATAAGAGAGCTCCTCTTCGAAGGCCAATTTACTACTGGCACTTATATTGTACTCTGGACATTTGTTTCTGGCGGCTGTGACAGTTGTTTCCCAACCACAAGTAGGATTTGGCGCGTAAAAGAGACTATGTGTAACGCTTGGCAACCTCATCAGTAATATTATATCGTGAATACTTGTATCTCACTGGACCTTATTAGTTCATGTTATTTTATTTACTTGCCCTGCAGGTTTATCTTTAACCCCGACCCACGGAGGACCTGTCTGCCAGTTTTTCTTCACCATCCGGTGTACCGGTTGTATCATTGCCCTACCGTTGTTTCCCCACCTTCTTCCGTCGCCCGCAAAGCCTCATATCGTCTTGATATGTCAGAACACTAGCCGAGGGACATCCTGTCGCGCATTTCTGTTCACTCCGCTGTGCTGTGAGAGCCTGCAGTACGTTCGCATTACACGTGATCCACATACTTTGGTGATGACTAGCGAAATTGATAGTCTTGAAACGAAGTCCGGCAATGGCAGCCGATCACAATGCGGTCGATTTCAGTTCATCACTGTGAAAAATTAGGGCCTTTCCATGTGAGCCAGCATCTTTTCTTGTGGGAGACATTGTGATTGATAGGAACAAACCTTGATCTGCTAGGAGTTGAAGTATGCGATCTCCGTTGTCCGTATGGTTTACTGGGATTGCATGCGGGTTGCCTAGATGTCTTCCTAGTTCACCCAGAGATCCCTCTAGAGCATTAGACTCGCTGGTGAATACTAGGATGTTCTTTTATTCAATACCTTCTAATGGTTGGGTGCACTGCAATCGGTTAGTGAATACACCGGCACGACGAATAATCAGCGACACTTTGTTCTGTCGCTGTTGACTAGAATGAACTGTTGAAGCATATATAATGCAAATTCGGTTACTAACTGGATTCCAGTCAAAACACGGACGAGCAGTCTTGAGACATAACACAATCCCTACACCAGCATCACCGGGAGCGTCAGATACCGAATCGCCTGATGCATGCAGAGTGAAGTGTGAGAATGTGGTTGTCTTAGGAGAACGCATGATGATAACTGAAGTATGGTTTTGCATGCGTGTTTCGGAGACAAAGCTTAAATTAAAAGTTTAACAGGCTCTAGCTAAGGTAGCTCATTGGCTGATCTGATAGTGTTTGGACATTGGATGCGGCTAGGTGAAAATGTAACTTTGGCAGCATAAATTCCACATTCATTATTAAATTGTAGACGCTTAACAAAAGTAAGAAGCACTGCTTTTGTAGAATATATGTTGTACAACCAATCTTCCGAAAGAGAACTGCTAAAGGATACAGGTGAACTGAGAGTTTATACTCTATTGCGGGGTTCGAATTCAAGACAGCGAGATTGATTATTACCTGAACCGTTTGATCATTACAATCTAGCAACACGTGTAGTGCGGTTATCTAAAAACGTCGCCAAGCCGTTCTGAGCAACTTCAAGCCAACAGTGAGTCAAGTTGCATTCCTCTGGGTGTCTCCAGGTCGTAGATGGCCGATCAACAATCGGTTGATAAGCAACTTCACCGATATAAAATCTATCGATAACCAATTTATCTTACCAATGAATAGAGCCGTGGTCAAAAACCTGATCCCTTCAGGCAGCAATAGACTGAAAATTCTAGATATGCATCTTTGATGAAAAAGGTACGGGGCATAGGGAATGCCACTTCGTAAAGAAACCCATTCAAAAAACCGACTTATCCCTTCTTAAGAGCTCTCCACTGATAATCAAAAGTAAAAACACCGTTCCGGTTGGTAACACCACTTTTGCAATCTTTCAACCTCATTCATACAGTCAAAACAAGATAAAAAACCTAGCAGCGGAAACAACAAACGATGTTTACGAATTTCGGTCTTTAAGGTATGTCAGTTCGTAGACCCCAACCGGAATCGCATCTTCAGATTTTTTGCCAGGACATTGGTTGAATAACTTCATTCATCCTCTAATCACTGTCTGGCTCAAAGAAGCGCTTCCTGCCAAGGACGGTTTATCCCCCAATGACGGTGGTGGTCAAGGGGTAAAGATCACCAAATTACTGCCAGGTAACGTGTTTTTAAGCTCATCACCACTACCACCACCAAACTTTTCCCATTCTCTGTGTGTTGTAAAGCAGTCTTTTGATTGATCACTTCCACCTTCCTAAAACTTGTATCATTATGAATTCAATAAAAGGAAGTGAAATAAAAGAAGGATAAAAAATGATTACCATTTATATAAATAAAAGTCTAGTTATATATCCGGTAATCTAAATTTAATTTCACAGTTTCCCATCAAAATTGCTTGAATCCTCTAACACAAAGGTACATAAACACCAACAGTTTTCGTATGCACTCTGAATCCAAAGTCTACATTTCCGTAACGGAACAGCAACGGTAAAACATCCAAAACATACACTTCGAATTAAATTCAGGTAAAACTAATCCCACGAAACTAACCGTCTTGTTCTTCAACGAGCTCCTCCATTTTATCATAAGCCGCCTTAAATAAGGCCACACATTTTTTATCTGTCCATTGGTAATCCTGCGTACAAGAAATACTTCATTAGTGACGCGAAACAAACCCGCGTAACGGCTTCAAAGAAACCATGAAATCTTTTGAGACCGGAAACCCAATACATGGGTGCACTCGAGGCCAGAGCGCCCGTAACCAGGTGAGGATATCGTAGACGCATATAGGCAGCCAGCATACCACCGTAACTTAACAGTAAATTAAAGTATACAGGTGTTGAGTGTACAAACATGGTTACCTGCCACCAAAAGCAATCACCGGTGACCGAACTGCATTAAAGCGTTCTTTCAATTCCACAATCAGATAAGCGTAGTCAGCCAATGCCTGTTCTATTGACAAATATTGGATGTATGGTTGTGAAAATGAGTCAGGGAACGGTAGACTTTGGCCGTAGTAGCGCTGTGGCAAAAACAAGTAAGTAGGAATCATATAACCAATTACGTGTTCGGCAAATATGACAAGTGCATGCATTGTTTCGGCCAACTCGAACATAAATCCAGTATTGTTCCAGAAGGACTCAATCGAACCCTCGTTGCCGCAGTAGAAAAAAATGGGTCCAATTCCATTTTCGCGATAATCTATTAGAGCGTGGGAAGGTGTAAATTAGATAATACTTACCCTTATAGAGGAAACGCAGGAGGAATGTATGATTTGCCGGAGGGAATGCAAAATGATCAATTTGTTGCGTGGAATAGTCCGCTTCAGGTGGCCAGGGTATCTGGGAACTGTTGACGCCAATTGTAAAAATGCACAATAGGATGGAAGCAGTCAAACTTCCAATTATCATTAGGCCCATGCTGATCGTAAAGCTCAAGGCGTCGATCCGTTGAGGCCACTCACCTAAAAATAGATTGATGAAAAATAAAAACGGATTTGAGGAGACATATCGGTGTATTGGTAACCCACTATTATTATTTAGGCAGAAATTGCTGTGCCTATTGAAGACAAAGAAAACACTACAAGCATTTCAGTGGATGTATTATAAGTAAGCCAAAGATAAAAGAAGACTGGAGGTATCCGAACATTATTGCAAAGACCATATACTAAACATAAGAGCCATTAACCTTAAAACAACGAAATCAAATAGTTGCTTCGGTATTGAACATATTGATCCGTATTCCACCTCTTTCATGTACAACATCCTTACCTTTAAAAGCAGATTGAACAAGCTGGTTCTGGCTTGAAGGCTTCCTTCATTATACCATATTCTGTCTCCTTGGATTATTCACTTTGCTCGTTTTACTATATCCACTTACGGCGCACGAAAAAAGAACAAGTTGTGACATTCATCTACTTTGTATGAACTGTGAACCGACTTATCTGTGCCAAATCCTATGGGACTAGAAAAGCAACCGCTTGTAAGTATTTCCCATAATAGAACTTTGGCTTTCACTTTGGCAAAACTCTTCTACCACACTTTTACTTGAGAAACAGTAGAAGGAATAAACCCAATGAACACGAAGACCTACGATTCATTTTACAGCAACCTCCTTAACCAAACAATATTGGAAGCGACAGAAAGAACTGGGACAAAACCGTACTGCAGGTTTAAAAGAACGGTTCGGTAAACTACTAGAACAGGAGCACATTTTTGTGTTATGGTTCGTAATATTGTCAATCATTATTGGTAGTGTTGAAACCAGATTGGTAAGGAGAAGCCATGGTGGTAAACGATCGAAACAATCAGAATAACGACCGATATTTAATCTCGTCTGTAGTCAGTCTATTCGTATCACCGGCACCAGTTATGTCAATAAGACGAGCTCCATCCACGAATTCATTCTTGGTTTGACCGTCCATGGCTTTTTTCCACCCACTGCCCGCCTTGGTGAACATCGCACGCCATGACAACTTATTTGATGACATGCGTAACATATGCATCAACCAACGTAATCTATGGAGGTTGACCACTTGCCCACAGGGTGACTGCCTAAATCTCTGCGCCTAACCTTGACACTGATTTGTCGGCTGCTCGTCGGTCGATCTCAAATAGACCTCTCTTCAACCCATCCGAAGTGCAAACTGCAGAGGCAAATGTAAGTTGTACATAAGCATAAAGGGTTAATGACTGTTTGCATCATTGATGCCATACCATGAACCAAGAACCACGGTTTTATCAGTGTTAATCAAGAGATGATCATATATAAAGAATAGGAGATGGTAATACACCACAGAAGCGAGAAGCCATTCTAGCACATTCACCACAAACAAATAATGATACACATTGAGATAAGGTGCACCTGTTATAACCTACACAGGTGCCAAGCGGTCTCGATGAGTCTTTGAGCCTTTGACTCAGTCGACCATGAGGCTTTCTCGCGATTATTTTCGTCGCACAGGAATGTCTTAAAATTATGTCAAAATACTGAGGTTAGTGTACTTATGAACTGCTGGTCGAGTGAGAATCACCATAGATGCATGGGGCCTTGGGTGTAGAACAGTGAAACTCCTGCATGGTTTGCAGTTCTATCAGAGGCACAAGTAGGCCATTACATTAATATTCTATTTTAGGCGACGGTAGTAGGATTCGAACACATCCCCGGGGTGATAATTTGGTGACGTTACCACCGGGGCACCACCGCCGGAAAAAGAAAAAGTTTCACTATTTGTTAGTGGATATAATACTGCCAGCTTGCCCAGACCAAAGCAGGTGAATTATTTTTAGGAATCCACAACTGAAGCCTCTGACTAGCGTAATCTACAATGTAGCGGAGTGGTGTAAGAAATCGGTGACCCACTGGGTACCGATGTCCAGTTCATCGGATCATATGCTCTTTGGGCGGGGTCAAACGCCAAGGTGCCTTATTGAGCCAGTAACCACTGCCTCAACAAGTAAAGTCTGTGTATGGTTAGTACGCCTCCTCTTGGTTGGTTTGGAGTCAGGGGTTTTAGCTAACTCTCTTAAGTGAGCTGTCAGTGATTCACCAACTGGGTTATAGCTCCGGATGTTGGGTGTCTCCCTCCCAATTAGGTGGGGAAACATCGCCATGAAAAGACGGAAAGTAGGGCTTCTTCCATAGAGGCCATTTGAGACACTTGATAGTATGAGAGCATTGGGGGAGGTGCAAGGAAAGGATAAACAGCCACAACCAAAGACACCAACTTTCAAAAAAGGTGGCATTCACAATTAAGACCAAGTGATCAATACAAAACGAAAGTTACCTACCTTCCTGTTATGCCCCGCGTTCGGGCATCCGAGGACTGCTGAGAGAAGTATTCTGGGATAAGATCAGTTCACCTTTTCGTGAAAGTCTTTATCACACGTTAAACTTGTCTTTCTTAGAAATAAACGCCCAAGGTCATGAAACCTTTGCTTCTGGGCCTTGACCGTCAATTATTATTGTTAAATAAGCAACACGACAGAACAGTGTTGTACAATTTATTTTCGGAACAATTTCGCCGTACCTCTTCAGGTACACATTTCAGTCAAAAGATATAATGAAAACCTAAAAAGTAACAGTTAACGTGAATAAGCTGTTGGTGTTAACTTCTTCATCCTTATACTAAGGCAGAGCTAGAGTTACAGAAAACTCTTTCTGCTTGCTTAGTTCAGATTTTCATCGTTTTATAACAATCACCGCTGCAAACTGTAGCAACCGAAAGTTCTACCTAGGTAGGTGACTAAGAACCTACATACAAATTGGTCTAATTGTTGGGATTTGGCGTACTGTGAAAGCGGTTACGTGACTGAAGGTGGTTTTCTGTCGCAAGCGTAGACTAAAAGTGGTGCGGTTGTGTTGAACGCTCGCCGCTGTGTCTCTGAAAGAAACTGTAAGATATACCTGTGACAGCGAACAACTGAAGAACACTAAGTTTTCGATCCCCTTGCCAGAATTTACTAGTTTGATTCTGTCATGCATAAAGAACATTTGCTTCAATTTACAGGGAAGATACTTCCACCAAGTTGATGGTGTAGCCGTGGAAAGTCCCTTTGTTTCTATTGTGACAAACATATTTATGGTAAGCCTGGAGCGTAAGATCAGCGATAATCTCACCACAAATCTTCTGCACAGATGATGTTCTGCTCATAGCAAACTCAAAGGCAGTGGCGTTGGACTTATTCCAGAGCGTGAATAATGCTCATAACAATATAAGGTTGACAATGGAACATTGACAAAATAATACACTGGCCTCCCTGGATGTAAAAAGCAACGGAAAACCGACAGAAGCCTTGGTCGATCTGTTCATTGAAAATAATTAAATGAGTCAATATTTCCATTTCACCATCTTCGTCGCCATCCGTTACGAACGAGGGCTAGTGAGGATACCTCATGACAGTGCGACGAAAATTGACACGCCTGATAACCTGGAAGACTAAATGTTAAAACTTAATAACGTTCTCCAGGATGATGGGTATCTAAGCTCATTTCTAAAAAAGTAAAGCATGGTACATCTGAGGGCAGAGCGACCGATATCCGTATTGAAGTGTAAGGTTGTCCTGCAGCTACCGCTCACGAGCGATGACATGAGTATTTTTAGAGCACCACCTAAGCTGGACCATTAAAGTAACATTCAACACAGCCGCGCCAGTTCTCCACGCGTGCGACAAAACACCGCCTCCTTCAGTCAAGTGGGTGCTTGGTCACCTACCTGGGCAGAACTCTCGGTTGCCACAGCTTACAGAGGCAACTTCTATGAAACAATAAAAACCTGGATTGGACTACAATTGTTGGAAGATAAAAGCCTACGTTTAGCCTGACTCCTCTTATCGACTATTTATCATTATCCGAATATATAAACTAATCTTCTAAAAATGGAACGTCAGTACATATTTCATTCATGAATGAATATAGGACAATACACTTAGGTCGAATAATATCTCTTTGCTTGTAACACGAACGAGATCTGCGGTTGGTCCGTAGGTGAATAAAATACTGATGGATTCGTTTGTCTTCATTAACAGTGAATTGAATTGGAGTGGCATCTGAGAAAAGCGCGCATTGTCGTCATCATGCATAACAGACACGATCATGGGTAAGTTCAAATGCTGACAAGCTTTTATGTACATACATTTCGTGATGAAAAATTGCTCGTGTGTTCCAGATATCATTGAAATTTTTATTCCTGTAATTTTTGTTAAGTACTTAAGGTAGACATCACGCTTAACTAAGGGATTGTTTATTATGAATACATTAAAAATCGAATAAAGAGTTCACATTAGCTTCCGATTATACTTTTTTTATAAATCTGATTTATGCTAATGTTCTTTTATATTTCCATTTTGCGGATGCAGTTTGCCGTCATCAATTCAGCGAATATAACTACCAAGGGGAAGGAACAAGAAAATCGAACCAATTTATACAAATAATCGACGAACCAGTGATTTTCACTACTGTAAAGTTATTACGTTCTTGTATAACACATTTGTTGTACTATATTTCTGGGCGATTTATTGTATGGTACATATTTGAATGGGATAGACCTTGAGTAATCGATATGTCGATTAATCGTTCGATCCTATAACAGCAAACGAAGTGGTTTAAATGTAGGCCGAGCAATTAAGTGGTAGATAAATAGCTTATGTTTATCACTTATAAGCGAGGTAGGTATAACTACCTCGCTTATTAGTTAGTCATAATATATATATTATGAGTAACTTGGGGAGTAGAAAAACAGGTGAAGAAATGGATGCATAAAAGAGGGTCGTTTCGTGGGTGACGGAAAAAAGCGCAAAAAGCCTGTTGCGAATTCGTGTTTCATTCGCGAATTTTGCCCGACCCTTGTCGCGAGGCAGAACGCGAAACATTGCGCCTTTTTGCTGCCAGGGTCTANAGAACCTGCCGAGCTATAAATCGA